TTAAACTCATTCTAGTCTTCCAGTCAAGCTGCAGCCTGACCAAGGAAGACCCAACTTCCCAATATGCCCATGCTGGCAGCATTAAGCACCTGCACTTTAGGGGTTTGTCCTTCCTGGTGTCTCTGCCCCACTTTGCCCTGCTTCTCCAGAGCAGGTTCCTGTATGTCCAGAGCATCTCAGCAAGCACTGATGGACCACCACCTTTTCTTTCAGTATCCATGGAAAACATCTGTTTCTGTCTTCCTCCACATTTGCTGATTTCTCCTAGACTTTCAGGAAAGCTATATAAATAAGTTTCCACCATCCTTCTTTGACTAGAAGAAGCAGGCATGCAGCTGTTACATCTCTACTTTTAAGCTGTTGACACTGTCCCTGACACATTCAAATGAGCATTGCCCCAACAATCCCACCATGGCTCTGGGAATGATAGCATCCAGGCATGTTCCTAATAAGCAACATGGACAAGGCCACCTTGTTGGGGTGGAGTTTGCCACCGTGGACCTCCTGTCCCATCGGCCTCAAGGCTGGAGACCAGGCTATGGCACATTTAATTTCCTGGCATAGACAGAACTCCTCTCCTCTGGTCTCCTGGTGCCCAGGTCAAACCAAGTGCGGAAGTCCCCCAAACTCATCCTCTCTTTCACCTCTCCCAGACCAGAGGGGATGTCTAACTGGAAGCACTTGCTGTAGTGGTGTCACGCTCCCAGCTCCAGAGGTGCCTGTTTTCCCTTCCTGGCTGCCACAGTCCACTGGCAACATCATAATTTCTCACATCTTGCTGATCACAGAATCACAAGGTTGGAAGAGGCCTTCAAGATCATCAAGTCCAACCCAGCCCTAACAATTCAACTAGACCATGGCACTGAGTGCCACATCCAGTCTTTTTTTAAACACATCCAGAGATGGTGACTCCACCACCTCCCCAGGAAAACCATTCCAATACTTTATCACCCTTTCTGTAAAAAAAAAAAATTATGCATCCCCTCTGGAAGACAGAGGCCACTCCTGGGCCTTTGCTTTTTTCTGGAGGAGCAGGCACTTTCCTCCTCACCCCAGCCAGGCACAGCTGGGAGAGTTGTCTTTCCTCCCCAAACCTACATGAAATGCCCCTTCTGCCAGGCACCAAATCTTTGTCTGACTCCAAACCTGCCTCTCCTCCCATGGATCCCCAGAAGCTGGAGCAGGCAGCAGTCATCTACTCCCACTTGAAGCTCCCAGTGGGCTCTGCAGCCCGTGGTGGGAGAGGACAGCCACACAGCCCCATGGACCAAGAGGTGTCTGCCAGCAGGAGATCATATAACCTCCTCTGACCACCCCAGGAGACAGACTGACCCTTCTTCCCCACCACAGGATGGGTTATGTGGTGTACCCCACGCTCTTGATGCTGCACAGATCCTCCAGCCAGCAGAGACTTTGCCTTGTCCCAAGATGCAGGTCCCATCCGTTACAGACAGGGAAACCCAGATGTGAGCAGGCTGTGGGGACACCAGAGCAGGGGCTGATGGCCACTCTGCCACCAGATTCATCTGATTCATGCTTCCCTCCTGCAGGTCATCAACAGGGAGGGGGAGAGAGGGAGCAGTGGAGGGGACTGGATTGAGTGGCTCCTTCCTTCTTTGGATTGTTGTCCCTTTTTTCTAACTGTTGCACAATTTTAGGGCTTTTGTAACATTTTTTGGACAAGCAGGGAAAATATGTTAACAGTGGTTTAAAGGAAAAAAAAATGAGATCTATCTCTCTCTCTTATATATTATATATATATATAAAAATATATATACTTACAGGAAATCTCTATGGAAATATTTATTTAAGATGATTGCAAAAAATATATTATAATTAAGAGTATACCAAGCTTTGTCACGTAACAAAAAAATCAAGCCCCGGGGAGGGGTAGCTGCCTGTCCCCTCGTGTTTGTCCGTACGGTTGCAGCTGAAGCCTTTCTCTCTCTTTTTGTAAATGCACTCGAACTGTTGAGCAGTGTGACCGTGTTGGATTCAGTGGGAATTTGGGGGAGGGGGGGGGGGGGGGGGGGGGGGAGGATTGATTTTGTTTCCTTTTCCTTTGTCTTTTTTTGAACCTGTGGCTGTGAACAGAATGATCACTGCTCAAATCGGATGCTCTGTTTGGGGAGGGCGGTGGTGGGGGGGACGGGGAGCAGGGTGGGTGTGGGAGGGAGGGCGAGTGTCAGTTTTATTCTTGGTGTTCAAGTGCAATAAATAGCTACCAACTTCTGAGCATGGAAACGGATGATTCTCCGTCACTGCAGTGACTCAGACCGTCTGCCACCCCCTTGTCCCTCCATCACCGCACTCCAGTCCTCGAAAGCATCAAGGCTGGGCCCAGGCCTTGGGCAGGTGCTGCAGGTATCCTGCTGCCTGCAGGATGATGGTGCTCTGGACACTGCCCACCCCTGGTCTCCAGCATCTCTGGGGTTTCAGGGAGTTTAATGTCTTGCCCAGACCTAGTTCATTACAATCCAGCCCCTTCCCCAGGGACAGAGCTCTGGGGGCTTCAGGTGTTCAAGCTAGATGGGAGCTGGGGGTGGCCAGTGGGAGGTTTCGAGGTGTTTAGTGGAAGCTGGTACTACAGGGTGAGGGGCACAGGACCTCCAGCCAAGCCCAGGGGCAGTTTGGGGGCTCCCAGGGGCACCTGCTGGGCTTTGCTCATGCTGGTTCCTCAGGGGGACTGAAGTCAGGCTGCCACATTCCCTGTTCCTGCTCCACCCCAGGCCCTGGGGTGCCCCTTTGCCCCCTTCTCTCTGCCATCTGCCCCAGCCCCGGCAGGTGTCAGCACTGGAATGTTCCCGCTGCTGCATCCCCCCCAGCCCTGGGCAGCCACGCATGGCGCAGGACACGTGTCCTCCGGATGTGCCACTGCCCCACTGCCTTTTGCCCTTGGTGTCCTCCCTCACTGCCAGCTTTGCCTCCCAACCACGTCCCTGCCTTGGCTCCATCTCTGACATGGCTCTGCAGCACGGTGCTGGGCGATGGCAGCTACCAAAGGAGAGCCCTGAGGATCCCAGGATCGCAGTGGGGATTTGGGGAATATGGCAGGACCCCATGCAGGTAGAAAAAGCTGAGAAACATGCAGAGACTGGACTATCTTGGTCAGCCCAGAGCAGCTTCAACCCCATGCTGTGGGAAGGTGTCAGTTCTCCTGGTTCTTCTGGTACTTTGTGGCTGGCAGCAACATCACGAAGCACTGGAGTCCGTCACCCTGCACAGACCCCTGTGTGTGCCCCTGCAGGGGCCAGCCCAGCCCGGGCTCCCTGGCCAGCACCATGACCTCCTGAGGCCTCCTGCTCAGTAAATAGTGTCAAGGTTAGAGCGAGGGATTCATTGGGGCCATAAATGTTTATGGCAGGCCCTCCCTGCTCCTCAGCCGCCATGGCCTGAACTTTCCATCAGCCATGCTTTTATGGCCGGACTCTAATGATTAACCTGGGGCCTGCAGTCAAAGGTGCTCACTGCCACAGCCCCACACACCCGGAATAGCTGGAGTTGGGGGACCCCCATCACCCCCATGGGCTGCAGCCATGGTGGGGTATGGTGAGGGGGATGGGGAAAGCCATCAGTGCTCCTGCAGGAGAAGGGAAGGGCACAGCCACCTGGGAATGAGCTCAGCATCCCTGGACAAGAGGTGAGCAGGCAGGAGGACAAGGTGTAGGAGCCGATCCTACACTCTTGGAGGGGCAGAGGCAATAATTAAATATCCTTTGCTTGTAGGAAAGAGGAAGACTACAGGCTCCTGATAGAATTCACCCTGGAGGCTCAGGCCACAGTGCTGGACCCATTGCACCAGGAGCACATCCACAATCCAGACATAGACCCTAATTTTTTCTGGTTGTCTTATGATTTTGTCTTTTACCAGCACAAAGATTTGCAAAAAAAAGACCAGGAGGAGCTGTGCCCTTCTAGACACACATGAGAAGCCCTGGGAGCTCCTCTAGATGTGCCTTCCATGCTGAAGACCCCCCAAATAACCCAGGCAGGGGCTGTGTCACACAGCACTGTTACTGGTGAGCTGATGGCACACAGCAGAAGGCACACATGACACTGGGATAATGGGGACTGGCAGCATCAGCTACAAACAGCCCCATTCAGGAGGTCACCAAGACCCCCAGGCCAGCAGTGTCAGCAGGAGGTGGGGCATGGGCTGATCTACCCCAAAATCACACACAGACACTGAAACCCAGCCCTTCTCCTTCCACTGGGAAAAGCAGCACTCAGGGCTGGGGCCACACCTTGGACCTCCCTTGGTGATAGACACAGGTCCTCCTTGGACACTGGGTCCAGCTGAAACCTATCCCTGACCTCCTGCACACAAGAGAGACAGGTTATACCTTCCTTCAAGTCACCCCAACCCTGCCAGGCACCACCCTGACACACCAAGGTCCTTGGGGGATGTACAGCCTGTTTTGTTTATAAAGCCTTTTATTTTATTCTTCTGCTTGTTTTTAACTGCTCATTTATTAGGTCCAATTGCTTCAGGAGGACAGCGATTTGTGCTGGTTTTGCTGGAATACCTCCATGGGATCAGAGCACTCTGGCACATGCTGTCCTTGGGGCATGGAGGCTGTTACAGATTCTCTCACATGAGGTTATTGGAGTCAAATACAGACAAACAGAGAACAGATCAGCACACAGGAGCTCCTTCTCCTCCTCCCCACCTGCTGCAGCCTGGACATCCCTGAGAGGGGATGGCAGGGCTGGGGCTGCGGGTGGGAGTGGGACAGCCCTGACACTTCAACCAGACACTGTCACACAAACACACGGACTCATCACACAGTTCTTCACACTGAACAGAAACACATCAGGGGCACCAGGACAGGCAGCAGCTCTGTCCTGGCAGGGCCAGGGTGGTGATGAGGAACCTGGCAGAGTCAGCAGCTCCTGACTACTCCGTGAAAGACCCCCCCAAGCTGTCCTGAAGTGCTGCAGTGCAACCTGTGCAAAATGGGACGTGAGTTCCCACCCAGCCTATGGGGCACTGGATCCCCTCATATCATGGACTCCTCGTCGTCGTCCTCCTCCATCTCCCGGTCCACCTCGATGGCCGTGTTCTCGTAGCTGGTGATGCCCCCGTATTTCCTCATGTGGACCATCAGGGGTTTGGGGGACTGGCTGCCAGCCAGGCTCGCCACGTACACGCCGGTGCGGTTCTCCTCCAGGGATGGGCCCCAGTCCATGGCCGGCCGGCTGGCTTGCTGGACTCGCTGTGAGGGGACAGGCAGAGGGAGCATAGCCACACTGCACCCTCCACTTCCCAGGCAGCACCCCACCCACAGCTCCCAGTGCCCTGCTGGCCCCCAGGGACTGAAAGAATCCCCACTGAGGATGGGATGAGGTCAAAAGCTCGTCCTGAAACCTTTTGGGAAGGCAATCCTGTCTAAGTGTCTTGCTGTGGGGTGGGGAGGTGTCATGGGCTGTGGGTGCTGGTGGTGAGGGCTTGCAGGAGCGAGGGGCTAGTGTAGGGCTACAGCCCTGTGCTATGGGGTTAGAGCCACCCAGACAATGAGTTAGGGCCAAGGTGGCTCCAGGCCACGCCACAGTGCCCATGGCTGTGTCAAGCCAGGTTACAGCCAGCAAGTGCTCCAACAGGGGATTGGTACCTGGGGAGGGCACCAAGCTCTGCTCTTCTGCTTTTAACAGCCTGTCGAGAGCAGTGAAGGGCTGGGAAAGCTGTGATCAGCCAGCAGCTCTGTAACCTGCTCCTGGGAGAAGCCTTTCAGTGCAGGGATCCCATCTGGCCTGCCTGCACAGTCTGGCAGCTGCCTGCCTTGCTGTGTCATTGCTCTTGCCAAGTGGGTGCAAAGTCCCAGGTGCCCATGGCCACCCCACGCTGGGGACAATGCGATTCCTCACAGGGCACAGCAGGCTTGTTCTGGAGTGGGAATGCACACTGGGCTGCCCCTTGGGCAGCAGTTTTACTCAGTACCTGCCTGGCATCATGGGAAGCAGCATGGCTGGAAATGTTTTGGGGTGTGCTGCCTCTCACAAACTGTGGATAGCAAGGGGGAATGGGCACACACACTTTCAGGAGAGAGGATACAGAGATTTCCAGAGGATACTGACTTGGCAGGGGCTTGTGCTCACTGCTGCATATTTCTGGGGTACTTCCCAGGAGTGTCAGGCCCCAGTAGCTCCTACCTCCCACAGTGTCCCTTCTTCTTGGAGCACAGCCACCACCATGCCCATGGGAATCATCAGGCAGGAGAGGACTCCCATGAGGATGCCCAAGACCTCTGCCCAGGTGGGGAAGCGGTAGTTGCCATATTCAGAAGGCTGGTACTTGACAATGTTATACACCAGCAGAGCCTGTGGGATGGGCAGAAAGTGAGGTCATCCCAGGGGTCTCAAGCCTGGAGATGATGGACACCTCCCAGCAGAAAGATTGTCTCTGGGGCAGGAGATGCCAGCAGAGTAACTTATCACACTGGGAGGTCACCCAGGGATACTGGCACCACCATGGTTTTCCAGCAGCTCAAGCTGAGCAGTTACCATCATTGTTGCTGGGGATAGGACCATCCAGCAGGTTCTGAAGTAGGGCCCTGGTTTGAATCCCAGCATCATGTGGATATCTCGGCAGAACCTCTTCATGCCTGCAGGAGGGAGGGGGACTCAGAAGCTTTGATCCCTCCCCCAGAGCCTTGAGCCTGTACCAGGCTGTGCTGATCACAGGCAGTGGTTTGTATCTTCTGCAGCAGTCTCCCCACACCCAGCTGGAGTGGAGCCCAGCTGGTGCTGCCTGAAGGACCAGGGTCAGAACCACCATATCTTTGGAGAGGTGAATCAAGTGATAGCCAAGAAAAAACAGGTGGTGGGAGCAGAGCCACATGCTCCCCTGTGAGGCTGTTGGTTTCCCCACTGCTCCCTCTAAATCACTCTCTTCACACAGACAGCACATCCTTTCCTGTGGCCCTGTGGGGACAGGCACCCTTACCATAGACACGTGTCACCACAAGGCAGGTAGTGATCACCACCACCATGAGACCAAAGCCAGCGCTGTAGTCATCCAGGAGGACCAGCCAGTACATCCCACCCTGTGGAGACAAAGCACAGAGGCCAGCATCTCCAGGACCATCATCCCAATAAACCTCCAGCCATGTCCTCTGACTTTTGGGGCCCCTGGGAAGGACAGGAGTCAGCAGCCTCAAGAGACATCAGTCTCCTTATGGGGTTGGTGTAGGGATGGGAATAACACTGTGTCACCCCTCACACCTTCTGGAAGCCCAGGCTTGTCTCTCTTTCACCTGGCTGATATGAACACACATGTGAAAACTTGGCCCCTGACCTAACTTCCCCCTAAAAGGAGTCCCTAGGTGGTCCCCACAATGGATCCATCCCCACACCCTCACCTCTGTTGTGAGGATGAGCCCCATCAGGAAGAGGGCGATGCAGATGATAGCTGAGAAGGAAGCTTTTTTTGGCCGCAGGTAGTAGGGGAATTCGTCCGTCACTGCCGTAACGATGGTCTCCATGAATGCAAACTGCATGCACAGGAGGAGAGGGTCCCCTGAGCCCTCAGGCTGCCTGGAGTCCACGGCTGCCTCCGTGGGCTCTGTCCTTACCTGGCTGTCCAGGCCCAAGGTTAACAGCATGAAGAAGAACAGGAATGACCAGAATGGAGAAAGGGGGAGCATTGTCATGGCCTGGGGGTACACCACAAATGCCAGACCAGGACCTAGGGGAGGCAAAGGACAGCGGGGTGAAAAGGTGGTGACAGAGCTGGGAATGGGGAGGAGAGGAGAGCTCAGCAGAGCAGCACCATGGCAGAGACTTGCCAGGACTCTGGCAAGATGGGCAGGAAGGGTCCTGTGGCAGAGGGTGGAGAAACAGCCAGCTCCTTGCTCAGACCTTCATTAGACATCATTTGTTACTCAATATTTACACCACAGGAACTTGTCTGCCCCCTTCTCTCCCCCTGGCCAGCTGAGCATCCACCTTCATCCCTCATGCTGACACTCTCTGGTGCCTTCCATTCTGGAAGGGATGCTCCTCAGCACACCCAGGCAGAGGGGGAAGGGGAAAACATCTTTCTTTGGCCTCACCTGCTTTTGCTACCTGGTTAACAGGGACCCCAAGCTCCTGGGACATGTATCCCAAAACGGAGAAGATGGCAAAGCCTGCCAGGATGCTGGTAATGGCATTGCCCAGGGTCACTATGAAGGTGTCCCTACAGAGAAGGAAGAAGATGCTCTGAACATGTTTGCTCCTTCCCACCCCACACCAGTGCCCGGTGCCATTGCCAGCCCCAGGTGCTGTCCTTCAGGGCTTCTCATGGCAAGTGCTTTCCAGGGTCAAAAGGAGTGTATATTTTATGGATAATACCGTGGAGTTCCTCCAAAGCCTTCTGCCCCCCATGGATGGGATCAGACCAAATGTCCAACACCCATTTTTTTCACTGAACTACACTGGATGTTGGGGACAGGGCACACATGCACAACTCCAGCCTCAAATATCCTCAGCTTTCAGCACCTACAGCTCAGAACTTCTGAGCTGGGTGCTCTACTGTGGTGATTGGGAGAATTTTTTCCCACAGATCCCTCTGTTCCTCTCAAGCCTCTATAAACTGCCAGGTATCCCCTCAGTGCAAGGAGCAGAACAAGACTGCTGCACCACATGCTTCTGGTGATTTGAATCCACCAGCTCAGGTTTTCACGGCACCCCCAACCCCTAATTTTTACAAGACAGCAGCTGACTCCCACCTGTAGATATTCTGATGGAAGGTGTTGTACGAGGCAAAGGTGAGGAGGCCCCCAAAGCCCACCCCAAGGGAGTAGAAAATCTGCAGGGCTGCCTCGATCCACACCTGGGGGAAGGAAACAGTTCTGAGGAGAGCAGAGCTTTGGAAATCTCCACATGAGGAAGATGGCATTAGAAATCTGCTTCCCAAGAGCCCTGGGCACATCTTCCCCAGCACTCCAAGCATGCAGAGCCTATGGGATATTTGTCTTTCCTTGTTCACACTCACCTCTTACAGTGGATCAGCTGGCTAATGGAAGGGCTAATAAGAATGTTTTAGGGCCAGCCCAGTGTAATTAAGTGCCCTTGTAAAACTGGGTGGTCTCTTGATGATCACCACTGCTGACCCCCACTCCACATGCTGAGATCTCTTGAGAACAACAAACAGTGAAATCCACCACTGGCACCCATCAGCCCATCACAGGGGCTGGGATGATCCTGGTTCTGGTGCTCAGGGGAGTCTTGGTGCCATCCCATCCATGCAGAGCCATAAACACGTGCATGGGGTGGGACACATGGGAATAGTGGCCCAGACAAGGTGTGGGACAAAGATTCTTGGTCTAAGAGCAACCAAGAGAGCTTTAGGTTAGGGTGTGGCCAGAAAAGACACCTGAGTAAGGGAACTGCCTCTGTTGCATTCAGGAGGTGGCAGAAAGTTCATTTTGTTGTGGTGAACAAATTGCACAACATCCTACTCACCTTGGAAGACAGCAAGTGATCAAACTGGGGTGTGAGGTAAAACTGGATCCCCTTCCAGGCCCCCTCCAGGGTCACGCCACGAATGAGCAGCATCACCAGGATGAGGTACGGGAAGGTGGCAGTGAAGTACACGACCTGTGGGAGAGCAGGACCAGCTGGGACAGCTGGGAATGAGAGAACAGCATGACTGCTGTCTCCCTGCTCTGTCCCTAGGGTGGGACACATCACCCTGGGGTCCTTGGGCTGCGGCAGGACTGGTGTGCCAGCTCTGCTGATGGCTGCGTGTGCAAGGCATCCCCAAAATATCTCATACCCAGTGGATGCTGTTTGTGGGTCTCACTTTCCCAGAGGCGCAGAGTCACATGCACTGGTGAGCATCGCTGTAGGTCCCCCACCCAGAGACCAGCCAGCCCTTACCTTGCCAGAGGATTTGACTCCCTTAAGGATGCACAGATAAACAATAGTCCAAGAAAGAAGCAGGCACAGACACAAGTTCCAGCGGATTCTCCCAGGATCCCCAATCCCCGAGCTTCCTTGGATGTGCAGGACATACCGGCTAGGGAGGAAGGAGAGCTGCCAGTGAGCAGCCATGTGCTGCCTTCTTCCAGAGGCCCTCTGACCCTAGAAATGCCTCCGCTGCAAAATAACCTTGTCAACAATCACAGGCACTGCCAGCTCCTTACCAAGCAAACAGGAACAGCTGGAGTGATTTCTCCACCATGTATTAGAAAGCCTGGAAGGGATGCCTGACATCTTGAGAGCAAATTCCCAGCCATTCCAGATGTGGGATGCATTTTAGTCTAGTATATCTCCAGACCAGCAAAGCAGTGCTAGAACATGGACACCTCCCACATCCCAGGGGCTAAACTGAGTTGTCACCCACAGCTGAGCACACGAGCCCATCGCTGCAGCCACACCACCAACCAGGAGTGAGACCTGCAGCATCTGGGCTGTGAGACGTGCAGATCCTTCACCCCTCATCCCATCCTCTCCCTGACCAGGTACCAACCACCTCCCCACAGCCGGCTCGGGCTGACCTCGTTACCTCCAGTACTCCTCGCTGGGGCTGACGGTGTTGCTGATGTTGACGGGGAGGGTGTTGTTCCCCGCCTTGATGACGTGGTGGTCCAGGCACAGCTCAGTGTTCCACCAGTTGCCACAGTGCTGCCAGGGCAAGTCGCTTGTGAGGGATGCAAAGAGGTAGAAGAGAACGTAAGCAATGATCATATTGTAGTAAATGGCCACCAAGGAGACGATGAGGATCGTGCCCATGCCAACGCCTGAAGGAAGGAGAGGGTAAAGAAGGATGAGCTGGAGCAGAGCAAAGCACATCCAAAAGCAGGGTCAGACACTGCATCTCAGCAGCCAAATTATCAACCAGTCCAAGGTTCACCTGCTGAGGAGCCTCTTATGTCCATTATAACATCTGGACATGCTTTCTCTTGATGGTCTATTGCCTCATACAAAAAAACTTTGCACCAGCTTAATGCTGAGAATAAAAGTATTTGATTTGAACTTGGTTTTTTATAATACTTTATTCTTACCTTTGTTTTTAACAGGTATTGCTTAGCTTTCATGCTCTATTTTGTACAATAGATGGCTTAATAATCTTCATACCATTTCTAGAGCTGGTCATGCTATCCAGAGCCCTCAAAGACTGACCAATCTCATGCACATCCTGTGGCTACTAAAACAGCTAACTCAAAATTCCAGCCTGACACACCTTCCCCCAGGTTATTTTGATTCTATCAAGAGCTTTGGGGATCATGGGATGCTGCTGGTGGTGCATGTTCTCATCAAAGAGCTCTTGAAGATGTCCCTTAGAGGCTCTGAACTTCACTCACGCACCTTTAAAGAGAGGGCTTATCTTCCAGACTGCGAGTGGCCCTAGGCTGGAGAACTGGCCAAGTGACAGCTCCATGAAGAAGATGGGAATCCCACAGATGGCTAGCATGATGAAGTAAGGAACCAAGAAAGCTCCTGCAAGAAAAAAAAAATAAGAGAAAAAAAATTAAAATCCTGGAAGTAATACAAAACAAACACCTAAAGCCCAGCTGTGACAGGGAATAAAGCTCATTCAATATGTGTGGCTCTGAGGGATCTACATCAAAATCAGGAAGATAGGGAGGAGCAAGAGCTCACTGTTAGTGCAGGAGAAAGGGGCTGTGATTCGCCAAGTGCTGTGCTTCCCCTCTGCTCCCAACTCTTTTCTCTTTGAATCTTTCACAAACATCATGAGATTCTCCAGTTGTTATTGCTCTGGGAGGAGTTGAACCAGGATTTTTCACCATCACCCAGGGCTCTTGCATTGCAAAAGGTTCAATTCCTCCTTTGATAGCTGGAAAGTGTTTGCTGACCCAGCTGAGTCCTGGAGGACACCAGACCAAGAAGCTGCTGGACACCAGGAGAACTGGTGTGTGATTCAGCATGGAGACAGGGGTTTGTCCAAGGCCAGGAATGCAGAGACAGGCTTGCAAGTCCCTTCCAGACGTGGATACAGGTGGTGAAAGCCCTAAACAAGCATGGGGAGGGCAGGAGGAGGCTTCACCCCGCAAAAAGTGTTACTTTCCAGCCCTAGGATGGGGAAGGAAATTCTATATTCTCAGGAATATTCTATCAGCCCAGGTCAGTGGGTGGGAGACTGACTGCTGCAAAGGATGCCCAAGTACCTCCTCCATTGGTGTAAGCCCTGTAGGGAAACCTCCAGACGTTCCCAAGGCCCACGCAGTATCCGATGCAGGAGAGGAGGAAATCCAGGCGCCCTGTCCAGTTCCCTCTGTCTTCTGGGCACTCGGAGCCCAGGTCCCCATCCTGGCTGCTGGGGCTTACCAGGAGATCTGGTGTCACTGGCTGAGTGAGGGACCAGGGTATGGGAGAGGGCAGACAGGGGTTGAGCAAGGAAGAAAAACAGAGAATGAAGAATGGGAGAGAGAGAAGGAGTGCCAAGAACTCACGAGTGAATTTGTGACCCCAAGCCACAGCATTGACACTTGTCCCTTGGGAACACCCTGTCCCAGCAGCTCTCTGTTCCCCACCTCAGGCAATGCCCTGCTCTGCCACTGTGGAAACAAAAGGAATAAATGTGATCCCACTTGTTCACAGCTCCCCTGGGAAAGGTAGGATTGTCCCAATTCATTTTGGGAAGGTTCACCAGGACCCAACCGCAACCCCAGGCTCCACAGACATCCTTTCAGGGGATCACAATGAACTTTCTGGATCTATGGGCATGAGGACAGCAGGAGAACCACTGTGGCATGCCAGGGAGCGTGACACCCAGCCCCATGTGTGCTGCCATGCCAGGCACTCGCTGGCTGCCGTTAATTGCGCCGTGCATTTTTCACGCTTTTCCAACTGCCAAATCCTGCAGTGTGGGAATTTACTGATACTCCCAGTTGTCCCTGCTGAGATGAGAGATCTCCTTCCAGAATTCCTGATGTGCTCTGGATCAATGCAGCACAGGCAGGGCATTAACCCATTCCCTTCCTCCCCACTGCCTCAGCTCTGCAAGTGGAAGTGCGAGTCCTGCAATCCATTTGGGCTGGGGTGATGCACCAGGAGGGCACCTCCATGTTTGTATGGGTGTACATCAAGTGTTCAGTCTGAATTCCTCCAATTTCCTGACCTCAGGAGAACAGGGAAAGCATCCCCACTGACTCCAGAGCTGAAAGCCTGAGCCAGCAGCTGCCAGATGAGATCCCATCACAGATACACCCACAGCAAATCCAGGCAGCACAAAGGGGTGGAATGAGGATCCTGTCTCTGTGCCACCAGGTGTTGTTGTGCCCTGGCATGGGACCTGATCATGTTTGTATTGAGGCACAGGAGGATTCTGATGTCCCTGCTGACAAAGTACCAGGACCAGGGCAGGAGGAGCCCATTTGGGAGCCTTCTCTTCTTGGACTCTCTGAAGAAGCAGCCATCTCCCTGTCCTTGTTCATAATTGTAGGGAACAAACCCACGGGATGTGGTTGAGGGAGAGGGTCCTGGGTTTGGGGGGATCAGCCAGAAGGAGTTGTGGGTCTCCTGTACCAGTGTGCACTGGTGCTCAGAGCCTGCAGCAGAGCCCAGTCCCCAGGAGGCCAGAGCTGGATCAGAGCTCAGTGCTGCCCTTTCACAGCCTCAGGGAAGGTGGCAGCCACCTCCTCTCCTCTCCAGCTGGACTGGACTGGAGGATGCTCCTGCTGCTGGTTCCCATGGAGACACCGAGCGATGCTGAAGGAGAGGGCTGCCAGCTCCCACCCTGCACAGGGTGCTCCCCAAACCCCCAGCCGCTGGCACTGCAGACACGCTGCTTGCAGCCCAAAGGCACCAAACACAGAGGCAAACTCTTCCCCATCCCCACCTGGTGCACAAACACCTTGAGGGACAGGACAAAGGCAAACTCTTCCTGAGCCAGCCTGAAATGTACAGCTCCAGCAAAACTGTTACACCAAAATCCTCTGTGAAAAGCCCACCCCTGCTGGGTGCCACTGTCACACGGCAAGGGCCAGAAGAAAAAGCTGGAAATACACAGGCTGACAAGTCAAAATATGACCCAGATGTAATATTGTTGCTTTAAAACTGTCTCTACCTGGCAGCACTCCTGCACTTGTTCAACACAGCTCTGAGGTTTAACAACACCTCCAGGCCATGGCAGTGCCTGCTAATTAGCTCAGCACACACAGTGTGTGACCCAGAGCTGTCTGTGCTGGCAGGGGATGGACAGGCTGCTCTGAGCTCCCTCCCAAAGATTTCAGCACCTAAAACCTGTATTCACAAAGATCTCTGCCTGGCAGGGGCTATCACAGCTGGGTCTTCCTCCTGCAAAACAATGCTTCTCAGTCCATCACACTGGCTGGGGAGCTCTTGTTTTCCATGTTTGAATCACAGAAAACCAGCAAGCAGGGATGCTGGGAGATCATTAACTCCTGTTGCCTAATTCCTGCATCTCTGTCTGAATCCTAAACACCTGCAGGCGGGCACAGGTAGAGCTGCAAGATCTCATTACGTGCGGCTGTCTGCCCATGAAATGTAACACAGAAATCAACATGGACTCAACAACAGGAAATTAAAGGAACCAATGGGACCTTTTTCAAACTGTAAATGGCCTGGTCCTCACCTCAGTCACCATTTCAAGGGCCACGGGATGTAGTTTGCCACTTGTGTCTCAATAACGACTGCCTCCCTTGTTAATATCTTTATCTGGAGCTCTACAGCTCGAATTTAGGACCCCAGCTTGAACTTGAGCTTGAACAGATCGGAAAGCAGAGACCACTCAAGTGTCAGATAAACCCAAAGGACAATGTCAGTTGTCCCCATTGGGCAAGCTGAGGAGATACAGGTCAGGGATGCTGCTGGAAAACACACACAAAAGCGGCTCCCTGACTGCAATGCTCAAAATTCCCCCAAATCCCAGCCTTTCCATAGAAATCACAGAAAAACTGGCCTATTTGCCTGACTTGAAATGAATTACAAAGCACAACATTTAAGGCTTCCAGCTCATCTTTGTCCCAAATTGCAGAGGGAAGCACATCTCCCTTCTTCTGACTGCTGGAAATCTCACACACCAGCTTGATTCTAGAGCTTTTTTTTTAGGATTAATGCTCTCTTTCAGGCTCTGTCTTAACAGGAATTCTCTTCTACAGCAGCAGCTGAAGTGCTCCAGTGCTCCAGTATTGCTCTAGAGCTTTCCACCATCAGCTGCCATCCTACAAACCAGGCTCCCATCTTGCAGATATAAACAGATGGGGACTAACAGCTCCCTTGGCAACCACGGCCTCTTTGAACACAGCATCACTTTCCATTATTCACCAAAAGATGCTCCCAAAAAAGTCAGCAAAGCAAAGGTCACCGAGAAGAAAACGCACTTTAGTCTCTGCCAAGATAAGAGCTCAGGTCTGTAAGGAAATGGCTCTGTGCTAATTATTTTCTCTAAACCAATTTACTTAAACCAAAACTCGGCTGTATCTGAGTGAGAAAACTTCAGCCAGATCAAAGATATGTTTTCATCCTATTTTGTCTCCATTCAAGCTGGTATTGTGGGGTTATTTTGTCAGTGTTTTGTGCGTGGATCACAGCCTTTGAGCAAGAGAAATACCACCCAGCACCAGATTTCTCCCCTGCGGGTCTGAGCACAGTGAGTCTCTAAAGTGTGAGTCACTTCAGATTAGTTTGAATTGCTTGTTAATCTCTGAGAGAAAAAAATCTTAAAAAGGCATAAAAATTAATTCAAATGCTATATCACTTAGAAAACAAAGTAAATAAAGCACTGCTATGGTGAAGAAGAGCCCCTTGAAAGGTTGCACTGACCCTGGGTGACCCCAGCCCAGGCTCACAGCCAATGCCATGAGAGGGAGCAAGTGATGGTGGAGCCAGCACAGGGAGGTTGGAGATGGCTGAGGCTGAAGCAAACCCATTACAGCAATCTCCAAAGTGTAGGGAGTATGCATAGATACAAACATTTTGGTTTTTCTGGTGAAAACACCAGGGAAGTTTCAAAGTTTGTGGCAGGCAGAGGAGGGCAGTGGCTCAGGTAGGAAGATGCTGCTCAGCAGCCTGGGCCAGGTATGGGAAGGAACAGCATGACCCATGGCTCCCACCACTGGCTCCAGTGGGATTTAGTCCATTTCTACCAAATAAATCCCAAAGAAAACAATCAAATAAATGAAAACAACCACTCAGCTCTTCTAGGAATACTGTTATGCAAAAATCAACCTGAAATCCTTAGAGTCTGAGAAAGGTCTTCTCTAATCAAGAGGTATTTCCACATGTCTGAAATATGTCTGGTAAGAAGGTTTCCAACTCCAGCTCACCAATGGGAAGTGGATCACAATGAGAGGAAGAGGAGGCTGTCAGGGTCCTGGGTGGGTGCTGCAGTGGGGATGGGCACATCTTTTCATCAGCCACCACCAATTCCAGGCAAGCCCAATGCCAGCATTGGACACGGTGGTCCCAAGGGGGCTGTGAGCACCAGTTCCTCCATCTGGAGCTCAGCAATAGTAGTTTTGGGTAATGAAGAGGGCTCTGAGCAGCACTGGGAATGGGGAAAGTAACTCCAGAGACATCTGCTTTCCATCCCAACTGATCACCACGGGACTAAATGAATTCCTGAACAAATGCTAAAGAGGGTCACCAGCATCAAGTAACTCAGAAAGGCATTGGAAGGGGCAAATACCACTTTTAATGGATCTTGCAGTCACAAAGCCATCTGGAAAAGCAATTTATAGGAAAGAGGAAGAAAGAGAAGAGCTGAATGATGCCTCCAAACATGAGTGGAGAAATAGGCTGTCAAGGCCTGCTGGCTGTCACCAGGATACTGCTGGGTTTTTTACGTCATTTCCCAATATCCTAGGAATTTCCTGGCAGGGATGAAACTCTCCTGGGTTTTCATTCATCTCAACAGGGTCAACCTGTCCTGTGTTCAATGGGCATGGTTTGGCACAGGGTGTAGCTGAAGAGGCTCCCAGCCCTGGGTCACTGTCTGGGATGCTCCAGGAAGGGCTGAGCCATTCAGCAGCAGCACATGCCCATGGTGGAGATGTGGCTGACACATCTCTGCCACCCTGCTCCACCGTGTCCCCAGGAAAAGGACTCAGTCCCCACCGTGGGGGGAAATGGCAACTCAGGCTGGCAAGAGCAAAGCGGCAGCGGAGGGGAGCCTAGCATGGGAAAGCCTGACAGCTGGGTTTAAAAAGGGTTTCCAGCAGGATGTAAAAAGGGTTTGTAGCTCTGCCAGCTCTGCCCTGAACCCCGAGTTCAGCGTCCAGCTGACCCCACATCACCAGAACCTCTTTAAATCCCACGGAGGAGGATGAGGAGGCAATCCGAGCTGCAGGTGGGAAAGGCAGTGCCCAGCTCCCTGTGCCCATCCCGTGGGAGGGACCCCATCCCGGGCAGTCCCCGGGGTGCCAGGCTGGGGGGCTCTGCCCCCGGTGCCACCCACGGCGCCCGGCCAGACACGACATGAGCCACCCACCGCCGGCAGCACCTGCGGCAGGGGAGGGGGGAACACAGCGGTGCCTCCCGCTCAGGAGGGGCGCTGGGCACGAAATGCCCCATCCCGCTGCCCACGATCTCGCTTTGGCCCTCGCACGAACACTATTCCCTAATGCCCCACTGATCCCTGTCGCCTGCCCACGAAGGCTCCCGGGGACGGGATGCGGGGCGATGGGCAGGACTCCCCCGCTCCCAGCCCGGGGTTATCCTTGCTCCCTCCGCCAGCCCTGGGGTACCCTCGCTGCTGGCCGGGGTACCCCTGGTCCCCTGCTCCTGTCCCTGCGGCATCTCCGCTCCCGGCTCTCACCTTCCGAAGATGCTGCTGCCGAACGTGCTTCATCCTAGACCCTGTTGCTATGCGCTCCCCGCTCCGACACTTTTCGTCTCGCTCTCTCCGGCGCTGGGGAAGGCGAAGGGAGAGCGAGGAAACGATGGCACGGAGGGGTGGGCACCCACCTGCTGCCGGGGAGAGCTGGGGACGTGAGGAGAGAGGCTGAAGGAAAGGTTTGCCTTGGGTGGAGGATGGCTGCGTGCGGAGCAGGGAGGGAGGAGAGAGGTCTGTCTGTCAAAAGCACTCCAGACGGGGAAAGGGGGGCTCCGGGACCTCAGCCCCCCACCCGCACAGCGAGGGGAACGGCTGCTGCCTCACTCGTGCCACAAATGCATCAGGTATCCCTAGGGAAGGGCCTGACTTTGGGGTCACTCTGTCACTGAGCACACCCCGTGTGGTGACGGCAGCAGATGCCAGAAGCTCACAGCACCTTCCTGTCTGGTTCTGAGATGGTTTTCCTGTGGCAGGACACAGCTGGAGCTTGAACAGATCAGAAGTGATTGTTCCCCATGATGCCTGAGCCCAGCCCTCAGAGCAGGGGAGGGGGATGCTCCACAGCCATCAGTCCCTTTGGGTAGGACCAGCACATCCCACCACACTGAGGGCAAGAGCCATCCCTGGGCAGCCCCCAGGGTGAGCATCTGAGCCCAGCATATCATGGCCCCAGTGCTGGAGCACAGGTCACATCTGCAGGGTCCAGATGTTCCTGTCTGAGTCAGCAGTGGGATACTGGAGCCCCAGAGCCCAGAGAGACGCTGGCTTTTCACCCTCATACTCAGTCAAACTGAGTATCTGCCACCAGTGAGGTGGCAGAGCTGGTCTGTGCCTTCTCCTCCCGCTTTCATGGTGGAAATGTCTCCTGTGTATCTGTGAGAAAGGACAGCCTCACATGCTCCAGGGCCACCGTGGGACCAGGACAGCTCTGGACTCACAGTGAAAATATCCACTCTTTCCCATGATAATATCCACTTGTCCATCACTTCACCCCTGGACTGTGCCCAGTGCTCTGACACTGGATGTGTCCCTTTTCCTTGCAAGTGCCCTACAGGCTCCAACCTGAGCCAGACCTCTGCCCAGATGCTTTACTGAGGTTTAAGGTGAGTGGGCAGCACTGGAGATGAGGAGGACAATGACAGGGCTGGAACAGAGAGAACTCAGCCTGCCTGATGTAAAAGCAAATCTCCAGGACATCTAATGGCAGTAGTGCTCCTACAGCCCTCTAAGCACTTCTGAAAATTTTCTCTGAAAGGGAAGATATCCTCAGCATAAAGGCACATTTCTGTAGGAGTCCAACACAATGAAGTGGCTCAGCATTTGCACAATGGGTCCTTCAGAGCTAATATTTACCTGGATTTCCCAGGGAAAGGAGGAAAGAGCAAAACTACATTACCCAACAAACATGTCTTTTCACACACTCACAGCTTCCTCAAAAATAAAAGTGTCTATGGGAATTCATCCAGGTTGGTTTAACCTGCCTTGGACTTGCCCATCAATTCTCCCTCTCCCAGATGCTGGCTGGGAATGCTGAGCCCAGAGCTGGCCAGGCTGATGGCCAGGGGCTGCATCAAGCACCGTTCCTACCTCAGCCTTCATGCAGGGCAGGGATGCTTTGTTTGCCTTTCATGCCACTGCAATCTGAATCATCCCTTTTAGACCTTTTCCCTGGGATCCACCTAAAGATAGACATCCCATGGCCACCACCATGTCATGGGAGGGGAGAGCTTGGTGCCACCTTATTACAGCTGTCCCAGCCCCATGGCACCTACATGATCTCTACACAAACCATTCAGCACTCCTGGGCAGATTTTATGGCCTCATCTTCTTGTGCCCTGGGCAGTATTTTTCATTAGAGACACCCAGGGCTGATGGGTGCCCTGAAATATCCATGTTGATACCACTTCTTCTGGGATGCTCTGTACCTGGAACTCGCTTTTCTGGTTTGTCTGGTGCTGCTCTGGTAGCAGCACATTGCATGGGATCACCAGGGAGTAGATGTCTCACCCCAGGCACCTGGGATGTTCCAGCTTAGCATTGCAGGGCTGGAACAAGTCTTGCATTGCCCTGGAGCTGGCAAGAAATGCACTTCATGGAACAGCACACACCAGAGGCAGTAATAGCCAGAAAGATCAGCGCAATCTAGGGACCCCAGAAATACCAGGAGAGGACAGGGGTGTGCACAACTGTCCCCATGCCCTGATCCCCAAGGGGCTGGCACTAGGTAGCACACACAGAGCTTGCAAGCATGTTCTAGCCAGCTTTGTTTTCTCCTACTCCGCCTCTGAGCCACCCCCTGGGACACCAAGTAAACCTTTCCCTTCTCATGGGCCAAAGCACAGCGCACATCCTCCACCCCAATGCAGCACTGACAGACACTGGCACTGTTTTTGTCTTTGTGAGACACTGGAGGGCAAGGAGAGGACAGAACACAGGCTGGGGAAACACCCCTGCCCACCCTGCCTGGGCAGCCCACACACATCCGGGTGGCAGCCGCCTGGGAAGAAACGAGAAGGTGGCTGGCAGCAGGATGGGACCGTGCCCAGATCTGCGCCGCAGACACGAGGAAGGCGGCAAGGCAGCGGTGCTCTGGTTAGTCACTGCTGGGATGTGTGCCATGCTGGAGGCTGCTGGCAGGATGGGTGCGCTCGGCCACCTGCTGTACGTGGCCTTATTTTGATGATAGTTTCAAGATTTCTCCAAGGAAGGGTAAAGTGGGAGCTTATGGAAAGTGCAGGGGGAGGAGCAGGGATGAACTATGGGAACTTGTAAAGGACAGCCCCCAGGGTCCCCTGGCTATGGGGGCAGGCTGTCCCCATAAGGACCAGGTCCCATATGGGACACGTGGCTTGGAGGCAGCCGCAGCAGCTGCTAAAACCAGGTGTTCTTCACCTGCCGGGGTGAAACCATCGAGGTGACACGTGTCCAGGAGGTTTGAGCCAAAGGTTCCAGAGCTGCTGGGGACATGGTGTCTGCCGGCCCCTTTCCTGTCACAGGGAGGGCCCTGCATGGCTCACCCATCCCTGCCCAAACGGCAGATGCAGGGCGCAGGGGAGGACATGGGAGGGGGAACAGAGCAGATGCATTTCGTCACCCGGTCAAGAGGTGTGTGTGTGTGTAGGGGGAAGGGGTGGCTGGGTGTGTGGGTGCATTTATTGCCTCTTCCCGCCAGCGCCGGCTCCCTGTGCACACACGGGTGGCAGGGACCCAAGGGCACAGCCCACGGCTCCCTGGACTTTTACCCTGCTGTGCAAACAGGCAGGCGCCAGATTAGGGTATCAGTTGGAATTTCATCCTGTCAACGGCACCTGCAGCCTCTCTGGGCAGGCAGTGGAGCATCTTCCCAGCCCCTCAGCTCTCTGCCAGCCACCCAGCACCGCAGGTGAATCTGGGAGATGCACATTTCACCCCCACCAGGACTCTGCTCCCCTCTCCACTGCTGTCTGCAGGCAACAGTGCTGCCCAGTGCTGGGCACCCCATCCCCTGCCGGGGCAGGGTCCCATTGCTGGTCTCCACATGGCAATGGCAAAATTGGAACCAAAGGCAGCCAAAGCCCAGTGTGGGGGGATGAGTGTGGGGACCACGGGGACCATGCTGGAGTCTGCACACAGAAGCAGCTCCAGTTTCCCCAGTCCAGCCCAGCTCTTCAGGCAGGTGCCTGATTCAGTCTCATCCCTTTCCTATATGGCACCAGCTCCGTTGCATTTGCATCCTCCTTCCTGTCTTAGTTCCTGATTCCCGTTTCCTTGCAGGGGTGCATGAGGTGGTTCTCCTGCGCCGTGGGCAGCCTGGCACCATGCTGGTGAGTGCAGGGTCACCAGGGTGCAGCCGTAGGTGCAGCCTCTGTTGCAATTGCAGGAAAAAACACTTTGCTCTGTCCCTCTCTCAGCAATGCCACCTCATCCTGTTCCCACTCCTCCATCTCCTCCACCCATGAGGACTTTATCCTGCTTCAGGTGTCCCTCCACAGCCAGCTTGCCCTGCCCTGGCACCTCAACACACCCCACACAATGCATGGCACTGGGAAGAGTTTTGGGGCTGGAGGAGACATTTGGGACAGGGATTTGAGGCCAGCCCCTTGCTCAGTGTTCTTCTAGATGAGGGGAACACTGATGGGATGGAGAAGGGAGAGTGTCAGGCATTAATGCCAGCTGTCCCAGGCACTATCTCACATCCTCATTCTCTGTTTATTCATCTTGGACAAGGAGGATATTCAGCCCATCGACAGCCATAAAGTGAGATTAGAGACCAGGAGGCACCAATGGGAGGCGGCCACATCCATGGGCAGCTGGCCTTGTTCTTTGGCCTCTGCCAGCCCAACAATGGCCTCACCCTCTCCCCTGTCTCCAGTGCTGTGAGTCTGCAGCCATTGTGTCACCCAGCACTGCTGGTGCCAAAGGAGTGAGACGTGGCAGTGCCGTGCCATGATACGAGCCATGCCACTGCCAGCAGTGCCCCTGTGGGTCAGGCACACCGTGTGCTACAGGGACAAGGCTCAAGATGCCCTTCCCAACCCTGGCTGTGCCCGGGAGCATCAGCGCTGGTGCGACCCCAAAGCCAGCACCCTCCCCTGCCACAGCGCCACAGGTCAGGAATGACAGCGACAAACCCGTGTCACACAGGATTCCTGCTTGTTTTTATTTTCACTGATGCCTAAAAAATAAAAAGGAAAACCAGTTCTGCCTTATGTACACAAAAACTGAGCTGAAGTCCTGGGTAGATGCAAACATTTGTCCTCGTCACCGAGCGCACCAGGTAACAGTGGCCGTGGGAAGTGTCACTGGCAGGAGGGAGACCCAAAGCCTTTGAGAGCTGGAGCAGAGCAGTGGACACAGTGAGATAACAGGAACCCACTTGGAAAAGCCACAGCACACCTGGGGATTTTGTGTTCTGGGGGCTGGGAGTGATGGGGGCTGGCAGTGCACAGTGTGGCCAAGGGATATGAGGCACAAGGAGTGCCAGCTGGGATGTGAGGGCACTTCCTCAGCAGCAGGGACATGTCTGCTGCTCCATCTTCCCAGAGCTTGGAGGGAAAATTCTGAGA